ACAACACCCCGAATCTCACGCCCAATAATAGCAAACTAAAAATTTGGGCGAAATTTGAAGGCAAATCACCCCAAGGGGCGAGCAAAAGACAACAAATTGTGGCAGCCTTCGTGGCCACGACTTTTGTACCTCCTATTACCATCCCTTCTTGTATGCTAGTTATCCCTAACCCGACCAGACAATATGCTGGCAATCTCCTAAAGTGCAACAAATGCAACTATCACCATCATGGACGTTGTCGGAAAATGCAGTGCTTAAACTACAATAAAAAGGGACACACCATCCGTTACTGCATGACTCAGATCCAACACATTACTTCAACCACCAACGTCGAAATTTCTCGTATATTCCATCTATGTGGCGTAATGGGACACTTGAAGAGGGACTGCCCAATAGAGAAGAATGATGGTGGAACGGGAGGAGTTTGACCTCAGAATGGAAAAAGGCAATGAAGGACCCTACTATCATATGGGTTTACTTCCAATCGTCAGTATTGAGTATGCTTTTAAACATGTTTAAAACTAGTGCAACTAGATCCTTATCTTTTGCAAGTTCCCGTCATTATTGGGACCCTCGTGCTGCGTATACTTGCCTTTTGTAGTATACCTTGTTCGCAGCAATAGTCTTGTAGTTAATCTAAAGTACTGTAACTCTGTTAAAACTTGCACTGTAGTGTTTTGTCTGTAACGCCTTTATTATCAAATCTAATGCCTTTATTTCCAAGTGATTTCGATATTATCATTCTACTTGAGTCAATTCAATCCTCACAATACCTGTTTCATGCGTAAATCAATTCAATCCTCACAATACCTGTTTCATGTGTAGAGTACCTCATGTTTCTTATCCTTTCAAAGAAACCTCAACAAACTATCCCAAAGTACCACTCATACAGTACGTCAAGTTCAATCCAAAGACCCTTACGGTTGATCTATCACTGAAGAATGTATACACAAGGATGGTATATAATCAAGGTTCTACAGGTTTAGAATAGATGATTCCCCTTTAACTTCTTTTCCTCGTTGGGATGTGGGCTTAAGGAAGAATCATTTATTTGACTACCTTTTCAATCTAAATTATATACGACTCGTACGCGAAACTGTGATTGATGAACTAGGTATGAGTTCTAATATGAAATTCAGGATGCAGACTGCCTAAGACTACGAGTGATCGTGCTGCCATGCAAATAAACGTAGAAGCCAAACATATGGCCTTCCCGCCGATCGAGACAAGAGAGACAAATGGAACAAAAGTACATATCCTTTTTCCTTAATTCATGAGTACTCATACCTTCCTTTAGATCTTCATGACATCTAATCAACCATAAAGTTTTGACATCATAATTAGTATGAATTGGTTGAGTCTACATCAAGCGGACAGCGAGCGCTTTGAGAAAGCAGTTTGTCTTAACCTCGCTATCAAAGAACCTCTTGTTATTTACGGAGACAAATCAAGTGCGAACCTTCGCATCATTTCATGTATTCAAGCTCAAAAGCGTTTAGAAAAGGAATACCATGCATTCCTTGCACACATCGTCATAACAAGCCAAGAAGTGAAAGACACTACAAGTACACGACTTTCGTAACACCTTTCCAGAAGAACTACTGGGATTACCACCACAATGTTAGGTCGAGTTCAGAATCGACTTAGTTACAAGGGCTACCCCAATAGACAAATCAGCTTATCATCTAGCTCCAACTGGGATGCAGGAACTCCCAGTGAGTTTATAAAACTCCTCAGAAGGAGATTCTTTAGGCCAACATTCTCACCTCGGGGAGCACCAGACTTGTATGTAAACAAGAAAGAGCGTTCCAAACGCTAAAGAAAGCCTAGTGCACTGCACCGATATTATCCCTCCCAAAGGGGATAGAAGATTTTGTGGAGTAATGCAATTCATCCAACCAATAGCTTGGTTATGTTCTTATGTAGGAGGAAAGGTCACTTCATATACCTCAAGACTGCTTAAGACGCAGGAAGTTAACTATACAACACATGATCTTGAGTCAGGAGCAGTGGTAATTGCTCTGAATATCTGGAGACACTACTTGTAGGGTACAAGGTGTAGTATTTTCACAGACCACAAAAACACTTAACATACATTCGACCAAGAAGATTTATCATACCAATGAAGTCAAACGAAAGAAGCAAATTCGTATCCTGATAGTGAAAGGTTCGCTGGAATGCCAAGTGTGGACCTGAGTTCACCTGGGAATGTGAGCATCAAATGAAACTTCTATCTGTAGCAAAGTTTTCAATTCTGCTTAAACTCTAATTTCAGGACGAAATTCCCTCTAATGGGGGGATGATGTGACAACCCGATATTTCGAGACAATATAATGTAACACTAGTCAAAATTAGTTCAAAATTTAACTTTCCTAAAATCTTATTTGGGTTAAATACAGTGGTAGGAATCATATCAAGGTTTTCATACATATAAAGAGCACTAAAATCCGAGTTATAACGAAGAAGTTATAATCATTCTAAGTTTCCCGACAAAACCGGCAATACGGATAGACGTAAAAAAACAAAGTTTTGATACAATAGTTTTAGCTTTAAGTGTCTAAATGAAAGTTGTAGATATCATTAAACCGTAAACTTACGTAAAAAGAACGTCCAAATCTGACTTCGTATGAAGAAGTTATGATTTTTCCAAGATCTAGATATAGCAGTAGACAGCTAAAAACTCGAAATAGAGATCGGGGGATTTTTGTCCAATACAACCTAAATAAGAATCAAAGACATCAACAATAGTAGTGCAACGGTGAAAAGTCTGACGAAAACGGACATCAGATGAAGGAGTTATGGATTTTTAACGGACATTTCAGTCCCGGCCCGTTAAAATTAATTAATTAAAAATAAATTCAAAATTATCCAATGGAGTCTAAATGAGAGTTGTAGAGCATATTTTCAGCTACACGTGCATATAAAGAACGTTGAAAACGGAGCTCGTACGCGAAAGTTACGGATTTTACAAGTTCGGGGTCCAAAACCCCATGTTGTCAGGTGACTCACGAGGTGAACAAAAAAACTCACGAGGTGAGCTGCCAGACTGACCCTTCCAGAGCAAGTTAACAAGTGATGCATGCCATGGTGATTCGGGACCAAACTCACGACATGAGTTATGAAAAACTCACGAGGTGAGAGTCAAAATTGTGACAATATAATGAAATCTAAGCCTTTCGAGTTTGGTAGCTCAACCCCATCCTCTCTCCTACTTCTACACGCTATTAAACCCTTCTAAACCACCCGAAGCCCTGGTAGCACCTCTCACACACGATTCGAGTGCCAACACTCCGAATCTCCTGAGAAACTAACTTCTTTCCAGTCGAAGTACTACCCGCATGAAGCTCGTTTCTTCACCCAAGACTCGTGGTTACGTCAAGAACGATCCTTCTTGGAAACGAAATGTTGCTCAATTCACCACTTATCAAGTGAGTTCGTACCCCGATAACTATACTTTCAAATGTTTTATAAATGCATTTTATACACTTTAAGGGTGGGGGGTGAATACAAGTAAACAGACGGTTATCATCGTGTGAAAAACATAAATCTTTTGTTATACTCTTTGTTATATAATCAATCACATGCGATTTATAACTGTGTTTTCGAACAATAGATTTCTTTTACGTTACACTGTCTTATCAAACAAACTACTTTTTAAATCGTTGTATACACTGACATCAAGTCATCCGTACTTATTATTAGACTCATTCAAATTTGTTACGAAATTTCATTTTAAACTTATATATTATGTATACATATGTTGATATAAAAGTAGCATTCAATCAGTTCAATACCTTTGAGTAGCAAAGCTTTACATTCATTTCTTCAAATACTATAACGAAACCTACTAGTAAACTATAATATGTATAGTTTAGGAGAATACTATCGTATACAAATACTATAACATAGAACACTATGACGAAAGAACATATTAATATACTATGACAAAGAGAACACACTAAAATACTATAGTATAAGAACACTTACAGATCTAACTATACAAATGTTTTATTTATAAGTATGCATTCTTCTTAACAATGATAATCTTTTCATACAAAAGGTATTTCATCATATTACTCGTGAACTTCTTGTTAGCAATCATGTGAGACATATGGCTTTGTTAGTACCAAAACGAAAGTCCCCATCCTTAACCAGAGTCTCCAGGAGGGAGAGTGTGAATTTTTGTATAGATCTATACGGGTTTGACAAACCCGCACCTAAACTGTAAGCTCCAGTTAGACTGGTAGGTCTGAGGTGAATAATGTCGACATTAGTACTACGTCTAGTATGGTTATGAGAAACTTACAAACCGCGGAAACAACTCTTGTACGTACTAATATACATTTAACTCAATCATGCTCAGGGGGTAATAACTATATCATGGGATATTATTAGCATGTTCACAATTCGGGATAAACACCCTTTTAACCAGTTTTACTTAGACAAAAGACTCACAAGGAGCATTAAAAATATATTGGTTTACAGAGTCATCAAATGCCTTGGCGACTTTATACATACATAAATCTATTATTTAGGCATAAAAAACATCATCGTGTTATAGTTTTGGAACTTTTAAACTACCACACACTTATGGATAAATGTTGGACTTTTAGAAACAAATATTCTAAAATAGTCAGGCCTCGATTAAAGGCTACTTTTATACAAGTAGAAAATATGGGATTTTCTAGGAGCTTTCAAAATACAAACAATTACATTGAACAATTTCAAACATTTTCATCATACTAATACAAACAATGACATTAAATACTTATAAACTCACCAGCTTAAATGTTGACCTACACTTTCAAAATAACTTGCATTCTCAGGTCACTAGTAGACAGGTACGATGACCAGGTTTTACGAAGACGGAGCAGTCAAGATTCATCTTTTATTTTGATTACTTGTTGTAATGTCTAATTACTATGAAAGAACACACATGTATTAAACTATTACAATTAATGCAATGGACGATGTTGTTGCTTGTTTACTACTTTGCATTGTTATGATACTGTACATGAAGTCATCCACCCTCGAACGATTCCGCCGTTCTGGGTTTGGGGTGTGACATTTTTTTTACCACCAGAATTGACATATTCAATCTTCAGTTTTAGCAACCGAGTCATGCCCTTCTTCCTATTTGACCTTGTAGGAACTATTTTATGGATTTCTTCTTCCAAATCTGATTGGCTATTGTAGTGAATGTCTTTATTTTCGCCATCCTCTGTCTCCGAATCATATTCTTGGTTTCCATCATCTAGCTCATCTTCTATATTATAGTCAAGGATATCCTCATGTTGTTCCTTGTCAACCTCCATGATTCTTCTATTGACAAAACAGATTGAAAATGACTTTGATTGTTTATAAGTTTAATCATAATGTATGAATGATAATATTACATACAACTGTTGACATAAACATTTCATCGAACAATTCGTGTGCAACAAGCACACCAATAGGAAGAATGAAAATTGTTTGTGTTATGCATGATCCATAAGCAATATAATTAATAACATTGAAATAATACGTACACAAACAATAAACTTACACTAGAAAGCTTGAATGATGAATTGAATTATGATCCTTTTGGGATATAACCTAACGCTAAACAAAACAATGGTGGGATAAATGACGGTCTATTAAATATTAAAATGATTTAATAGGTCCTAAATTGATGGATGTTACCAAAAAATTACCGGAATTTCCTTGATCCGAGGGATTGATCTTCATAGTTTTGGCGGTGCGATAGATGAAGATTTCCCGCTTTGATTTGGAGCCCAAAGACCATACGAAATAATGTTTGCCTCCCATTAGTTTTATTTAAACTTGTTTGACGAATTCAAATGTGTTGCAAATTTTGAGCTGATAATAATCCCAAACGATTTGAAGCAAAAATCGTGGTTTTGAAACATGTTCCGCCTTCTCAAACATTATTATGACTTATTTGGTAATAATATAAATATTACATATTTGGTCCTTCTAAGTTAACAATTTATTCTTTGGAAAAACATTTATGGCTATTTGAAATAAAAATTATTTAAAGCTAAAAAAATAAATATATTATTATATAACAAAAATAATACTAAGGTCTAGTAGGATTAATAATTTTTTATAATAATTTATATCCCATAACTCCATAAACCAATGACTATCCCATGCTATTACACACCTAACACCTGTAGATGACCTAATGAGGTCCAAACCCACAACCAACACCCATACATGACCTAATGTGGTCCAAACCGACAACCCATACCCGTAGATGACCTAATGAAGTCAAAACCCACAACCGACACCCGGAGATGACATAATGAGGTCCTAACCCATAACCAAAACCCATACATGACCTATTGAGGTCCAAACCTACAACTAACATCCGTACATGACCTAATGAGGTCCAAACCCACAACCAACACCCGTAGATGACCTAATGAGGTCCAAACCCATAACCAACACCCATACATGACCTAATGAGGTCCAAACCCACAACCAACACCCATACATGACCTAATGAGGTCTAAACCCACAACCAACACCCGTACATGACCTAATGAGGTCCAAGCCCACAACCAACACCCATACATGACCCAATGAGGTCCAAACCCACAACCAACACCCGTATATCACCTAATGAGGTCCAAACCCACAACCAACACCCGTAGATTACCTAATGAGGTCCAAACCCACAACCAACACCCATACATGAACTAATAAGGTCCAAACCCACAACCAACACCCGCAATTGACCTAATGAGGTCCAAACCCACAACCAACACACATACATGACCTAATGATGTCTTAACCCACAACCAACACCTGTACATGACCTAATGAGGTCCTAACCCACAACCAACACCCATACATGACCTAATGAGGTAAAAACCCACAACCAACACCCATACATGACCCAATGAGGTCCAAACCCACTACCAAGACCTGTAGATGACTTGATGAGGTCCAAACCCACAACCAACACTCATACATCACCTAATGAGGTCCAAACCCACAAACAACACCCATACATGACCTAATGTTGTCCTAAACCACAACCAACACCCGTACATGACCTAATGAGGTCAAAACCCACAACCAACACCCATACATGACCCAATGAGGTCCAAACCCACAACCAACACCCATAGATGACCTAATGAGGTCCAAACCCACAACCAACACCCAAACAAGACCTAATGAGGTCTAAACCCACAACCAACACCCATACATGACCTAATGAGGTCCTAACCGACAACCAACACTCGTACATGACCTAATGAGATCCAAACCCACAACCAACACCCGTAGATGACCTAATGAGGTCCAAACCCACAACCAACACCGATACATGACCTAATGAGGTCCAAACCCACAACCAACACCCATACATGACCTAATGAGGTCCAAACCCACAACCAACACCCGTACATGACCTAATGAGGTCCAAACCCACAACCAACACCCGTACATGACCTAATGATGGTCAACCCCAACCCATTTGAATTAAAAAATTCAATATATATATTTATTATAAATTTAGATATAAATTTATTTTTTTGTTTGATAAAAAAAACAATGCTAGTATGGATATTTTATTTAATTAATGTTATAGATATTTTTTTACAGTAATACTATAGATATTAAACTAAATACTAGATATATTAATGTATAATATAAAAATGTGTAATCATTATCGTAGTCGACTAGCCGTCGTTCAAAATCCACCTCCTCTGTAGACTGCAATTAATTGGAGAAGTGATGGCCTCAGTCGACATCCCTTCACCTTCGAATGACAATCCTTATAAACCATTCGCTTATGTTGATTTCGTCATTCTCACATATTCATTACGTTACGATAGCTTTGATTTCTCCCTCTTCCTCTTTGAAAAAAACTTCGACGAGCAATTGAACAGAAGATGAATGTTGATCCGTGGTCACGTCCGAATTTCCAACTTTGGAGTGTAAGTGCCGAACCACCAAGAAACACACCAGGGGTTGAATACGGGAAGGAAAATGAGAAAAGATTCACCATTCGCATTGATCATGGTGGGTTCTTTACAGACTACCCAGGTAAGACATATCATCAGACAAAGGTTCACTTTATTTCTCATGTGAACATCGATTTGATAAACATGGAGATGCTTGGCCGTTTTTCTAGAAGCCTTGGGTATACAAGTTTGGGAACTGGTATTATGTGCCCACCAAAGAACACAGTGGGTTGTCAATGATTCCAATTCTGAATGATGAATGTTTGGGACCCTTCAAGAAGTTAGTTAGGGCACACAAATTTAAAGAGATTGAGCATCTCTATGTTGAACACAGGCCTGTGTTTGTTCCAAACCATTTCCCACATTTTTTGATGAACTCACCAGCCAAACGTGTTGAGAAGCGTATTCACATGTTTATAATAGAACATCCAATGGAATCGGTTAATGATGGAATAGCATACATCAATCATATGCTAAACATGACAATTCCAAAAGAAAAAATGGAGGATGCTATGGACATGGCAAAAGAAAATGTCATAGCATGGAAAGACATAGCCTAGGAGAACTATGTTGTAATCTTTTTTGTGATTAATAGAGAGTACATATGATACTCTATTTTTTGTAATTAATATGAAACTTTTTTTATGTAATGAAATGTTATATGTTATGTCTATATGTGATGTTGTTTTGATTATATAGGACATATATATTTGATGTTATGTATATTATGTCCCTGTTTTGGTATATTGTGTTGTTAAAAAGGTAATGTAGTTTGCTAACATAGGGGTATAACAGTCAATTATATGTTATATGCCCATATTTGATGGTGTTTTTAATAGAAATGTCTTAGGGGCAAAATCGGAATTAGTGTGCATATTAATTTTATATGTTAATTATGTCCATGTTTTGCAAACTTGCAATTGAGTCAGATTTGTCCCATTTTTAGTTAATTGTTTTTGAAGATAGCAATGTACTTTGCAACTTAGTTGCACTCTGTATTTATGATAAAACAGGGGTATAATAGTTAATTATATGTTATATGTCCGGATTTGATGTTGTTTTAAATAGAATTGTCTAAGGGGCAAAATGGAAATTAGTTATCTTATTGATTTTATATGTTAATTATGTCCATGTTTTGCATACTTATAACTCAGTCATCTTTTTCCTTGTTTTGCTTAATTGTTTTTTAAGATACCAATGTACTTTGCAACTTAGTTCCACTTTGTATTTATGATAACACAGGGGTATAACAGTTAATTATATGTTATATGTCTATATTTGTTGTTGTTTTAAATACAATTGTCTTAGGGGAAAAATGGGAAATAGTTATCATATTAATTTTATATGTTAATTTACATTGTTTTGACTACCTACAACTGATTTAGGTTTGACCGTGTTTTACTGAATTGTTTTCTAAAATAGTAATGTACCTTGTAACTTAGTTCCACTATGTAGTTATGTTATAGCAAGGGTATATTCGTCCATTAATTGTTACTATGATAAAACAAAGAAAATTATATAATTTCCTACTTCATCTGTGTGTGAGATATAAAGGTATAATGGTCATTTATTTATTGTATCAAATTAGGAAAGAATGATTTGTTTTTTGTTTTTACTTTCAATTGTGAAGGATAATTAAAAACAATGTGCAACAACAATTGCATGCATTGTATCGAATAAGGAAACAAAATGCTTGATTTTAATTGCGTTTGTCTTAGATCAGTTTTAGTGGATTCTTTTCTCTTTTGGTTAATTTCTTTGTTTTTTTCGTAAACCAATAAATTACAATCAACAGGATACCCCAGATGGTAAGTGTGAATGTAGTTAATGGTATATTTTGGAATGTCATGGGTTCGAACCCAACTAGCAACATTTTTTTCTTTTTTTTTTTTAGTTCTCGATATGTCCCTGATCGTCCACTTTTTTATCACTTCTCCACATGTCCCTGATAATCCAGACTCAATGAGTGAATATCCCCTTTTAGAAAATATGTATTCTTATCGATTCATTCACTGATAACTACAAAGGCTGAAACAACCATAAATTTTACGCCAAATTTAAACTTTTTCAATCATAAGAAAAAACCACATAGCATTGTTTACAAAATGTTTTCAAATCATTTTCCATCAGAGTGTCCAAAAAATCGTAACATAGGATGAGGAGCCATACGGTCACGCCTTCGCCTTTCCATGACCTCCTGAGGTACCTGAAATAATAAAATGAAAACTGTAAGCTCGAGGGCTTAGTGAGCTACCCTGAAAATGCCAATACCACACTGACAATACCATAATAGTAATAATCAATCAATCAACATGCATACTGGGCCATCGGCCTGACTGGACTGCCCTACCAGGCCTACAGTCTGTCTAAATCTATCCCAAGCCGTCAGTATGACTGGTCCGCCATGTGGGCATAAGGTCCCCCTGGACCGCTCATAGGGTATATTGGCCTTCAGCACAAAGCAGGACTGCCTCAACCCAACCACAAGCGAATAACCATGTGCACATACTATCATATATAGGCATATACAAACATCAACATATCTGTCACACTGATCATCAATCATAGAATTCTCCTTTAACTAGAGTACTAACACACCAATCCCTACGAATCATAAGATCATAACTTACTATCTACCTCGATTCCGGTCTAACAGATCATAACCACATGAAACACACCATAAAAATCGCAACTAAAGGGTCGGCCTTGGTGCTGTTGACCCTATCGATACAGAGAGGATAACTCACCTTGCAGATGTCGACTCGAACGGCAAACTCCAACTCTCAGGTCACTTGACACAAGCTCCACCACCTATCGTTATAGTACAACATACTCATAAGTCCTTAACCTTATAAAGTACTCCATAACCCACTAGTCAACCCCTGGTTAAAGTCAAAGTCCTCAATTAAGGTCAACAGTCCATGTTGACCATAACTCGCCGAGTACCCTTGGCTACTCGCCGAGTTCTCTGAAGTATATTCCAACTTGCCGAGTCATCGGAGTGATTCGTCGAGTTCCTTTAATTATCGATCAAACTTAAGGTAGCCCGTTGAGTTCCCTCGTTGCAACTCGATGGATACACACTCATACATATCCTAGAGAAAACTCATCCGACTCATCGATTTGTTCTTCAACTCATCGATTCTTATGGTGATCTTCATCGGACTCGCTGAGTTGTTCATCAACTCGTCGAGTTCACGACCATCTTCATATGACTCGCTGAGTTAACCTTGCGACTCGCCGAGTCCATTTAGTCCTTTTCCCATACAGACTTGATTTGAGCCATGCAACGACTCAAACTTATAGATCCAAGCTTCTAGGGCATGCTTATCACGTAAAGTCACAAACTTTACGTGCATGCATGGCCATAAAGGCTCTAAATGTCTATTCTATGTTCTTAATGGAACTTCATGCTCAAGAGGGACTTTAATCACAACCAAGACTATGACTTTATGCTTCCAGAATCCAATGAGGGTCCAGATCTGAAGTTACAACTTCACATCTAGCCCATAGCTCATCATACCAACTTGAAAATCCATAAAAAGCACTAGAAACTCAACAAAAGGGAAGAAAGGAAGTAAAAATGGCACTTTGATACCTCCAAAGGATGCAAGCTGAGGTGAACCTAGCTTCCTACTCCTTCCTTGCTTCAATTTCCTTTGCACTCTTAGCTTTCTTCCTCTAAGATCCTCTTTTCCAAGCTTCAACACCACACCAAGGCACACACACACCAATTAGGGTTTTAAGGGGGCTCTCAAAGACTATAAAGAGGCCAGAGGAGGCTAAGGCTCCTTTAAATAGAGGTGTAAACCCTGGGATTTAGGGTTTCCACTACTAGCTCCTACTCGCCGAGTCCCAGCATGGACTCGTCGAGTAGGTTAGTTATCACGCGATCCCACCCCGCTGCTACTTGACGAGTAGGTCAACCAACTCGTCGAGTAAAGCTGAACCCAATAAACCTTATTTAAGCAATACCTGAGAATCGGGGCATTACAAAGGCATTGCAACTACATTTACACTTCAACCAACAATTGACACGTCAACATCAAATTCATACAGGTACAAATACTACATTTAATTAGTATAGGAAATTAAAAAACAATTACCCTCATAATATGAATCTTTGTTATTTCGTTTGGTCATGATGTCTATCATTATATTTTTTTGAGTTAACAAGTTTTTTTTGTTTCAAGATATTGGATTTATTTGTAATGTGATGTATTTTGTTTAGGCACACCAACTGTTTGTTAAAATGGATCAATCAATAGGAAACATATATTGCTTGTTGATGCTGTTGTAAGATTAATATGGATAAGTCTTGGATGGGAGCCTATAGAAGATCATAAACCTATGTAAAAGGTGTTGTAGAGTTTATCAAATATGCAGTACACAATTGCAAGATTTCTAAACATATAGATCCTATAGATACAAAAAAAATAAGAATTCCATGTCCATGTGTTAAGTGTGTAAACCACATATCTCATTCGATGGATGTGGTAGATGATCATCTATTCAAGAATGGAATTGATCAAACATACACAAACTGGAACAAGCATGGAGAAATAGAAGAACCACAAAGAAGTTATATATATATATATATATATATATATATATATATATATATATATATATATATATATGAACATAATTTTGACATGGGTACGTCAAACGTTGTAGATTCCATGAGCATGAACACAGAAATGCCAACAGATGCTGCAGAAACAGTAGAGATGGTTGAGGCTGTAGAAGAAAATTTTATTGGGAACCCTGATAAGTTTAGAGAACTGATAGAAGATGTCGAGAAGCCCCTATACACAGGGTGTCATAATGTCACAAAATTATCTGCAATCATTCAACTACTCAACTTGAAGAGTAAGTATGGAGTATCAGATAAGTGCTTTACAGAATTATTAGTTTTGATCAAAAGTATGTTACTAGAAGGAAACCAAATGTATAGTTGTACATATGAGGCGAAAAAAGTATTCAAGGCAATGGGTTCAGGGTATACTAAGATACATGCATGTGTCAAGAATTCTATACTTTACAGAAACAAATACATAGACTTGTTAGCATGTCCTACTTGTGGAAAATCAAGATGGAAGGTTGATGAACAAAAAATAAAATTTACAACAATATTCCTGCAAAAGTTTTGTCGTACTTTCCAATTATTTTGCGCTTAAAGCGTCTTTTTCAGTCTAAGACTACTGCAAAAGATTTAACATGGCATGAAACAAAAGAAAGGTGGATATTGGTGTTTTAAGTCACCCAGCTGATTCACCAGCATGGGCTGCCATTGATGACAAATATCCTAATTTTTCTAGCGAAGCAAGGAATTTTCGGGTAGGCATTTCGGCTGACAGGGTCGATGTGAACAGAGGAAATAGGAATCATAGTGTTTGGCCTGTTTTAACTGTGACAACCCGAAACTTTCATCCAATGTAATTGGTCCGCGTATTGTCTTTAAATCTTGAATTCATAACCCATTTGGAAATCTTGTGGTTCCGAATGCGTTTTGGGACACAATATAGTCTAGCTATGGGTATTAGGAGGTGTTGGAAAG